TTTTTTTTTTTTTTTTTTGTTTTTTTTTTCTATTTATATAAAGCACTCTTGTAAAAACGTGTGAACAAAAATGAGCAAAGAACCCCGATCTCGTTAAAATCGTTTAGTGTGTTGTAAGCAAGACACTTGTTGTATGCCAAGAACGGCGTGACCGCAAAAAGGTTCCGTAGATTCTCTCAGAGGGGGCCTGATGGCACCCGATCTGGAGAAGAGGCGCCAAGAATTAAGGAGAACTAGCAGCGTGACCTTAGATCATGTTAACGATCATCTGGGCATGCTCTTGCAATACAGAAGCGTGGGCGGCACGTTGACCGACGTTTATCATCATGGTAATTAGCATATAAACTCCTTTCCCTCCGAAAAGTTGTGTGACCAAAAGTGTATTTAGAATTGCAATCTCTCTGTTTAGTTGTGCTCTGAAAACTTTAAATTCTAATTCAATTCTATGACGTACATATGTACAACGCGGACTCTGCTATTTACATTGTGGCGGTCATTTAAAATTCTTCGAGACTGTGTGTCGTTGAGTTTTGTAGTTTTTTTTTTTTTCTTTCTGCCTTTATGACAATTGTAGAGCTGTCGTCTCGCAGTTATCTTATCGGAATCATTAAATTCATTAAGTTTGTTGAACCAGCAAAACTATTTTTGTGACACAAAAATAATTTATATATATATATAACTTTTTTTTTTACGCTTGTGCGTGTTTGTATAAGTGTCGAATGTCACGCGCAAATATTCTACATATTCATGCAATATTTAATACAATGACATTTCGGTGGACTCGCCTTGACTCTTGGTTCACGTCGTCTACATATTTATGTCGTTATACGTATTTGTTTTTATTTATTTAGTCTTTTCTCGAAATCTCTGTAAGTTAAAAATAATCTAAACGGAATCATTGATCTCACGTGTCTCTCCGCATTTTATTCGTCCGAGTTCTCGCGCAACTGAATTTTTTATACAGATATGAAAAAATAATAGATAGTAAAGAAACATTTCGTAAGTGTAAATTTCGGAATTTTTAAATTACAAGAACAATGTACGTGTGTTGTCTTCGACGTCAATCAATATGGTGACGAAGATCGGATTTCCTAGTCTCGTGCAGATCCACAGATGCTTTTTGCAAAGAACGGAAGAGTGTGTCGCTTTTTTTCTACTACTGTTTTTCCACGTTTTTTTCTTTTCTCCATATACTAATGTCTCGTGTACATTATAGAAAAAATACGGCACATTGTGTACATACATGTATATACATATACAATACGAACAAACATTCGCGCGCGCGCGCACCAATGTCTTTATATATCTTCAAATATGAAACAGCGCGCGCGCTGCTCTTTTGCGGGGTCGATGGACTTGCAACAAATGTTTTTCCGTACTATCTCCCGTCAGTATTATTATTGTTGTTGAAAATATACTCGACGCACTAGAGTATCTCGTTGCTGGTCAGCGAGAAAATGGCTGTATGCGCGCAGTTCTAGATAACCTTCGCGGTTCTCGATATACATGAGCGCGTTTAAGTGACGAGACGATATAATGAAATATGAGAATAAGATTATAAGAAACGACAAAATAAAACGCGAGAGACAAATCCAACGGTGGACATATATAGTTGACGCGAATGAAATTAGAATATTATTAAAAAGCGAGTGGAGTTTTTCTGGGAAAAAAAAAAAAATGACAAAACGAGTAATTTAAGTCAAAAATGTAATTAACACTAGTATAATACTGGATTTATATATTCTGAAATCGCTTTCTTTTTGATCAAACATGAGTGGCTTTAAGAACTTAAATATCGTATGTTGTTAAACTCTCTCGAAGACTGAAATGAATGAGAATTCGGAGATAAGAATTGAGAACTAAAAACAAAATTTTTTGGGGGGCCGAGATTTGATAACTGAGATAATTGTAAAATTGTTGATCTTTGAGAGACAGCCGGATATGTTTAGGCATCAGAATATACGTATTTCACACACGCACACATATTATATCATTGTGTTCGTATCATTATTCACATCACTGTTTGTATACTAGACGTGCTCACAAACGGTCAATTAATTTCGGATGAATAACTTTCAGTCGGAATTAAATTATTCTCGAAAGGTAGATATACAAAATGTACAAGCAAATCTTTTGCTAGCTCACACATCTCAATTATTCAATGATCCCGTAATCTAAGAAAATTGAAAATAATTTGTATTACAAAAACAACTTTCTGATTGCGCAACTGCTGAGTTAACAATTGTCCGTGATTGCTCTTCCATATCTGTTGGTCGGGTTCGTGTTTCTCAAAACTTAATTTTTTTCGACGTTGTGTTTTCCAATGCACGTATGCGAGGAATTCGAATTAATTTACATTAAATTGAAGAAATTGAGTATAGCTTGAGAAGATTCGTTGAAGTCGAAGAATCTAAATTGTTTTAACGACCAAAGAAATCTGTAATAAAACTAAAATAAGTGCATAATAAGAATGTGTGAGTTGCGTAAACGAGAACATTCAAGAAGATCCAAAAATATTAGGCTGAGAATATAAGAATCTCATTAATTTTAATTTTGATTGCGTCATTATCATGATGTTTTGAAACATCACATGAACGGACAAATCCATGTGACCCGATCTTATGAAATTGATACTCAAAAAAAGTCTTTGGCCTATACTTGCATATACATCTCTCGATGATCGCTAAACGCGCGTGTAAACACAAATATGCGCGCATACGCTGCTCGTTAACCGGATGCCTGTATACATAGTTGAATAACGCTTATAATTCGTTGTATAACGGGGCCTAATACACGCACAAATACGTACATGGCAGTTGACTCAATTGGCGGCAGATTGATAAATTCGATTAGTTCAAACCACACGAACTGGTTTTTCGAGTCGACCAGCATTTAGCGCGCCGATCGACGATACACTTCTAAATGTTTGTTCTAACTGACTGTTTACATGACTGTGTTAATTGTTAACATGCAGTTTCTCGATGAATTCTGAGGTTTTTTTTGAGATCGAACAGACATATTCATTACTGGTGCGGATTGAATCACAAAAATACATAGTTATTCGATTTACATGTTTTGTTTATAATTTGTTTCGACGATTGTATTAAATTTTTTTGGCTTTACAAGCGAACCTCGTTTGTTATCGAGGAAACGATAGAATATGAATTAAAGTAATATTTAATTTGATACATAATACACAGATGAGTAATATGTGGCTAATGAACTAATATTACACCAACAAATATTATTTATATAGACATTAAATATTATTTATATTATCGAAACAAATATCAGTAGCAATTTCCGCTAAATTGATATATAAATGAGAATTCAACAACACTTAGAACGTTAAACTTCTAACTAAAATTGTATAAGTTTATATTTTTCTTTGTTGTGTTACTGTTATTTTTTCTTACTATTGATATATTGTAATAATATATATATATACTATTGATATTGTTTTCCTCTTAATAGAAAGAAAATATGCTTTGAGAGACACGTGCTTATCACTCTGATATAAATACATGCTCTCACTTATATATATATATATCATAAATTTACGCAGCAAGTTGGATATTATTTTGAATACAAATTAAAAACCGATTTTCGGATAAATTGAACTTTATTGATAAATTGTGATGCTTCTGTTATTGATCGAGAATCTTCTTCCCCTTTTTTAAACGAGCTCGGACCGTATCGTCGTTACTTGCTTACTTTATCATTGAAATCAGTGTCTTGTTATCGGTTCTCGTTCGAATAGATAATAGACAGTACACGATGTTTTTATCGATAAGTCACCGCTTCTAAGCAACTGTCTATTATCGATAAAAATTGTATACCGTTTTTCATTTTTTCTATTTTGCCACAAGTACTATACTTAGCGCAATTCCACAACATATGAAACTTTCGTGTATTCTCTCATAAGCTTTGCGCAACGTTTCTTGAACGCTGTTGCTATTTTTTTTTTTCTAATCTGCCTTTAGATTTGTTCTTCGTGAAATATCAAAATTCACTCTAACAAATATGCTGTATCTATCTCCGTATTTACTCTCTCTCTCTCTCTCTTTCTCTGTCTGTCTGTCTGTATTTTCTTGCGGTACCGGTGCCAAGCAGTGTCGAGCTTCTGGAGAATCTTCGGCTTCTTATCTCGACTGCTTAAGTAGGCTATCAGAGATGCCATTAAGTGTACACAAAACTGCCTCGCGAGGTTGTATTGTCGCAGTGAACTGCTTCATCGGAAATCAAAAGAGAGCCTACAAAATCTCGAAAGAGACGATCGATATTTCGGAAGGTCTATTGAAGACTCTAAAGATAAAAAAGATTAGAATTAAAAGCAATTAAATTTAAATTAGAATGAAAACAACTATTAAAAAAAGTTTAAATTCTTTAAAGTGTGTGATCCAAAATTTTATTATAAAATTCTCTCTTTCTCTCTCTCTCTCTCTCTCTCTCTCTCTCTTTCTCTGTAATATAGTTTTTCCTTTTAATGACATTTTGTACAGATATATATTGCTCTTTTTTCTATGAGGATAATGTTGTGTTTAGATTATCTAAAATATTTTTTTTGAACTTGTGGCCCGTGATATCTCTTCTCAACATTTTTCTCGGTCTCTAAGCATTTCTCATTTATCTATTGTTTTAAAAATCTTTTAGTTTACGCAATCTCTGCTTAAGTTATAAAACTTTATTTTAGTTTTTAAACACAGTGAGACTCCAATTCCTGCAGATTCATTTGATACTGATACAATTTGTTATTGTTGCGGAATGTACGATAAAATTAACGGGTCTTTTATAATAACTTTTATAGTACCGCACGTTTCTCGTGAAATTTCGATCAAAGATCCCAAATGTAAGGAGAGTAAAATTTGCCTATAACGCTTCGCTAATCGCAACGAATTAGCTCGCCCGTATTCCCCATGGCCTCTGGACTTGGCACGAGGATCAACTGAGCACCGATCGATCCGTTCATTCGCGTCCTTCTGTCCATTCGTCCTGGTAACGATATATCCTTGAGACTCGAGAGGAGAGGCGTCGTAGTTAGCGCGCTCGCGCTCTGTTTGCTGTGTAATAGTAACGATGTTTATCGATCCTGTTATCGAGGGTACACACACTCTCTCTCTCTCTCTCTTTCTCTCTCTCTCTCTCTCTTTCCTTCTTCTCTTTCTCTCTGTTTCTCTCTCTCTCTCTCTTTTTCTGTTTCTGTCGGACTCGAGGACGCGGCTGGAAGACGCAAATACCACAGAGAGCCCTAATTCGTCTTGGCAATATCCTTCCACGAGACGATAAAGAGATACATTCACCTCTGGCTGCAGGTGTACAGAGCCGTTCCCATCGCGTTTATTTATTGACTGGCGAGATTGTCGGAGTAATTAAAACCCCGGCAGCGGTGCCACCCGCGAGGCCTTCGCAATTATTATCTTTATAGCATTTGTCGCCCGATATTGTGTAGCTATTGTCGGCGAAGCAGTCGTCACCGCTTGTTTCCGAAACACACCTGCGTGATTTTCGAAATAAATGCCGAGGTATCAAGAAAGATTCGGTAATTATGCAGTTATACGGACTATTTTCCGATCTCAACAATTTTGACATATGTTATCAAGGTCACCTTTCTGAATAATAATATGAAGGTTTTATCCGTCGCTCATTGTTTATAAAAAAGTTATGAACAAAAAAAGTTTGATGACGAAACTATTGTGTTTATGAAGTGATTGCAAAACCATCCTCTGATTTGAATTTTCACATAAAAAGTTTACTGAATGAATTCTTATTTTTCGATTCCACGTACATTGGAATGTACGTGGAATGTATACGATTATATGTATACCATTATATGTATACGATTTGTTTTCATTTCTTTGTTGTAAGCGTGTGAGCAGGGGGGG